GCAATATTCTTCCGACGTCTGATTTCTTTTTAAATAATGCATTTCTAAAGTGCATAAACTTTTGGGATTGAATGTATAGCCAATACATCCTTAAGTTAATCGAGACGCGGGCAAGTCGTTGCGCGATACCCATCGATATATCGGTTAAACGTAGCCGGCGATTACACGGAGTTAAGCAAATCGGCGGGAAACTTTGCCGGCTGATAACGTTAATGAGTCTTAACGCGTCCTTTTGTATCTGAGAACGAGTTCTTCGAGAGCGTTCAACAATGGTTTCCGCTCTCAAGAACCGGGCTATTTTTTTTTTTAAATATAACTTTCACGTAGATAAGCATCCTTATGTAATGCCCGTTACATGCGCCGAACCGATATCCGACGCTCGGGTTTAAACGCTCGCTTCTCCCATTAAACGACAATTAAAGTCTCGTACAACAACTTTTGTAATTTCCTTCACAGATAACCGATTCCTTTGACTAACCCACCACTGTGTTCTGTCTCTTCAACTTTTGTTTGTCCCCTTTAGAGACCCTCTCGAGAAAAAAGAAGGATTGTCTCCCTCGTACCAGATTTATATTTATCCTCGCTTAAATTATACTGTCGTTAACGACTTATTCCGTAATTCATACGAAGCGAGGAGAATCGTTATCAAGACAAATTCATTCTGTGTTCCATATTTTTTTCGCGAGAATTCAGTATGCAACGAGAGAACGTGTACCAGCGGGACTCGCTTTACGTGACATTTAAATCTCCCATCGTGCGCGTGCAATTTGACGTAAACACGATACTGCCCTCCTCAGGGCAAACCATCCTATCTAAGGGAATTTGCCCCTTTTCACGATTTAACGGTATACGACGGTAGAGCACGATGTCTTTTAATGCTACATGACCGACGCGTGTCCACAACACGGATCTCGCGGTGACGCGAATTCATTTTCGCATAAGTAAATACGTACACGTTCGGTGAAATGAAAATTCGACCCAGGACCCCGTCGTCTTAATAAACGTTTGATGCAGTTGACAGTTTAATAATCTTACGTAAATGCGCGCATAACCGTGGGCACATGTATATGAAACCGTGTACAGCTTTTACCGCGACATGTATAATAGTGTATCCAGGGTGACTCGCGGGAGAAATCTGGCTGGCATCGTTCGACAGTTCTACGTGCTCGGAGAAGGTACCTCTACGTCGGAGCGAGTACACATGCACGCGGTAAAAAAAAAAAAAGGTAACTTAGTCGAGAGGAGATAGACACCGGGAAAGGGAAGGAAAAGCCGAGCTCGCACGTAGAATATTGCGCGTGCCCGCTGCTCTCGCACACTATCCGACACCTACCTATGCACGGCGGCTGGAGTCCTGCGTCCTTTCCGCCTTGATCCTCGTCCTTCCGACCGGTTCTCGCAGGGCCGTCGATTACTCATTTACGGTCATTGTACCATCGCATCCTGTCGCACTACAACGGGACATCCTCTATCCAGTTATCACACGTGTCACCAGTCACCACCGTGTAACGTGCCCTCGCTCCTGATTATGTGGACAAAGAAATTCGCGGTCGGGCAGAGAAAGTCTGACAGAGAAGCCGAAGGGGAATACAGCACGCGCGAACACAGCTCACCGGCGAGCAAACGGGATACAAACAAGAACGCGTTCCGCGTCGCACTGACGGGTGCACTCGTGACTCGACCGAGACTCCGACTCCGAGGACAACGACTTCCCCTACCGTCGGCGCTTCGACCCAGCTGTGCTAGTGTGCTGCGCCCTCTCTCCCTTTGCTTTATGCTACCCTCACAACGATTCCGAATCTCTCCTCCGATTTTTCATTCACTAAAAGTCGTATCATTAACGCGATCTCATATCATTAAAACTTGTAGACCAGTTTAGAATATGACGTAATTGATCCATGTACTTGAACAGATTCAAATGTCCGGTTTGTCTTTTTAATAAAATTGATGAAAAATAAGAAACTCATTTGTACCCCACAAAAAATTAAGTATAAATGAAACAGTTAATACTTATGGTTGATCAATGATACAACGCGAATTCGTGTCCTCTGTGAGCGTGCCTTTATTAACTCTTCCCTGTCTGTCCCCCTCTATTTGATAGTTTGATCCTTTTCCTTTTCGAAAGATCCCCACCGAGCCCGGTCGCGGACCAATGCTTTCCAATGATGGCTGTACCAGCGATCCCACTCCCGCTACCGCGTTTCCACGACTCCCACCGCCGTGTAACTTGACCTTAGCCGTCGGTCAAAAGAAAGGTGTGTTTCTGAAACTGTAGGGCGATTGAAGGGTTCGCGATCGTTGACCCCTTTCTATGGTACCGCTAATAAAAAATGTATTTCTCGCGGTCTGACTCGGTTCCAATTGTTCACAACCGCTGAGGCTTATGATTCAGGATCGTGATTAACGTTCCCCCTTTGTCTGAAACTGTGCACGATCGAATGTTTCATTGAATTATTGTTCAGATAGTCAGCAGGTTTTGCTCCATCCGTAGGAAGCGTAGGGAGGTGAACGCGTGGTATCAAAGTGGGGTTGTTCTCCTCCGGTGGAAAACCCCTGCAGCAGGCTTATTTAATCCCCTTCCCTCGATCTACCACCCCCGCTACGACCGAGCAACGTTTGTCTCGTGGACCACTATATATCTTGTTCATTTTCTCTTCCATGCAGCTTACTATGACACTCCACTGACAGGCCAATCTGCTTTCGCTTTTTCAATTCGCTTTCCTCCCTCTTTTCAGCTTAAAAATTTGTTAAACGGTTTAATTCATCAAACAGTTTTACATCGACTCTGAAGCACGTGCTTCTGCTGAAATTAAATTGTTATACCAGTTCGAAATTGTTCAACGTCGACTATAGCCAGCAAAGTTTTTTTTCTCTCTACTTTTACAGTTTTATTTTGATTATAATTAAAAAAAAAGTAGCAATGGAAATTTAATTTCCATACAAGATTCAAATGAAAATCGATTGGTCGCAGGCGGTAACTGTTTGTTAGTGCGCGTCGCATTCAGTGGAGGCGCCTCCGTACGATGAGAGATTCGTGTCAGCTGGATCTAGCTTCACCTTAGGTAACGTTATCTGACACGTAAACGAAAGCAACATTGACAAGTGTCTACAGTGTTTTGAATCATGGTAATCAAAATCTTCATCCGTATTTCGATAACGATACGAATACAATAATTATCGTATTATTTTAGGCTCGTTACTTTCGAGAGGAAGACATCGACGGTACGATATTATTCGAATTTCGTTAATAACTACTTTCCTGTACTAAACATTTGCCTGTTTGCAGAATTCAGAGAATGTTTCTATCTGTTCGCAAGAAATGGCCAGATACGTACTCTGGATGAGCTGACGATCATCATGAGATCATTGGGATTGAGCCCTACAATTGCAGAATTAAACAAATATTTAAAGGACAAAGGTATAAGGGTATTAGTCATAATACACAGTTTGTAGAATTGTTTCTTGTTAGGAGGGAGAATGTCTTTTGCTGACTTTTTGGAAGTGATGCATTTACAAACTAGAGCAGAAGATCTTCCAAAAGAAGTGATAGATGCTTTCCAAGCTGCTGATACATTCAGAACTGGCACGATTCCTGCCAGGCAGTTAGCTCACATGTTACTCCGTTGGGGTGAACAACTGAGTAACAAAGAAGGTTGGCTTCCTCCGTTGACAAAAGCAAATATATACAAATTAAATTGCTGTCATTTATCTATCTCTTCCAGTGGAGCAAATCTTTAGGGAGGCAAACGTATCTCCAAACGGGCTCGTCAAATACGAAGACTTTGTAAAAATAGCTTGTGCACCTGTACCTGATTATTATTAAGACATTTTTATACCTTTTGTAATCTCTGAGTCGAATAAAAAAACATAGTGATAAAACAGGAGAAGAATTTATTTTCACACGTCTTACCTCTAAATCGCTTAGAATTATAAGAGCTTAATACCTAAATCCATCGATCTTATCCGAAGTTACTCGAGTTAACTCGATCTGTCGGGGTTTCAACCCTCTTTGGCAATGTTCGTGGTCGGCGGGGAACCGCAGAGGATGACGGTGGTACTGACGATCGTCGTCAGGAAAAAAACGCATAGCAACGCGCGATCGCTGACCAACGCGACCTGTTTCCAATCCAGCTCCATCCTCTCGCGACGATCCTGCTCCGCGAGCCGTCGCTCGTTCCTTTCGATCGTCGCGTGCACTCTGCCCAGCACGCGCGACCATTGAGCTTCAAGGCCACCTTCTTTCCCGAGATCTGCAACTTTTTTTTCTTCATAAACAATAGCCGATCGACGTGCAAGCGAAGCTCACCTAAACTGGGACTGCTGCCGTTGCTCTCATCTCTCCTGGCCACGAACTTCGGCGAGGACGATTGGGCCAGTTCCGGTTTGCAGTGCAACGGACAATTGTTTTTCCTCCTGGGCGGATCGACTGGTTCCTAACGCCAATCATATAGAAAACTGGCACAAGTTTAACTAATCTTAATCACAACAGAATCTTACTGGTCTTTTCTCCTCCTGAAAATTGAGGAACACTATCCTGGCGAGTTTGTCCAGGACCAGGGATCGCACGATCCCAGGCACTCGGGTTCCTCGCACGCCGCGATGGTGAAGATTTAAAGTGACCACCGCCAATCCCGAAGCGAACGATACGAGACATATGCTGACTCCGTAATACAGACCTGTAACGATGACAAACGATACCAAATTAACCATTAACCGGGATTAATCGAGAACCCGTCCCGTTGTTTCTGTATAAATTAATTGTCTGGCAAGGTTCCAATTACGGAGTTTCGCACCCGAGTGCCCTATGCTGTTCCAACGAGCTAAACGTGATTCCATTGCATTTCATTTGCCCACTGGAGGACTCTTAAACGAGACACCTGGGAGTTTTCGATCAACACCAGTTAATTCTTAAATCCATAAGAAGATCGTAATTATTCGACTGCTGATTTTATGAGTTTTAAGAAAAATTTCAATCATTCAGATTGAAACAAATATTTTGTCGATCGAAGTTTGTTAAGTTTCCTAGTAATCAGTTCGTTCGACACGTTTCACAAAGCGTATCGAGAATTCTTTGAATACACGAAGTCTCGTCATTGTTTTAACGGGTGGAAACGGATTTCACGTTTCAGCAGAAACAGATAATGATCCCTTTTTCAGCTGTTTCGATTCCCGTACAATAGGCGAAGACGTTTAGTTATTCTTATCTCTCGGTCTTTATTTAACCGTGAATAAAAGGCACTCACTTATCAACGGTGTCTTCTCGGTGGGCGGCAGTGTCTCGCGAATAGTCATTAGGAACACCGTCATGGAGAGTAACGCCGAAATCCCGAGGGTCACCTTCTCCCCTGATTCTGACGGCACGTAGAATACCAACAGAGCTGAACAAACGGAGGAAGTTAAGAAAAGTTCGACACTTATTTTCCGTCGCGGAATATCGAACAGGAGGTATTCTTCCAACTTTCACCGTCGCGTCAAGAACGGAAATAGAAAGGGTCGAATAAATTTTTACCGTCGATTCAAAACGACCGGTCCCTCTTTGTTAACAAGATTCGAATCCTTTCCTTTCATCCAAAAAGACATTCTCTCATAGAGAAAAAATCGCTACAGTGAACATCTCTCCCTTTACGTTTTAATGAAATTTCCACTCTAGATCCGATAAGAACGCTTGACCCCTTTACAGATAAGGGCTCAATTATTTCAGAATAATAGAGAACGTATGTATATTATGCCTTTCTGTTATAATACGAAGCAGCCTCTGAAGATCTGTCGGACTAATGAAATTCTTTATGCTTATGCGATACGTAAGAATATGTCCGAATTTATAATCGTTTCTCAGTTATCAACTGCTTATTATATCTATAATATGTGTTTCGTGATGCATAATTGATGAAAATCGAAGATATATTTTTAAACGTTTCACGAACACACATATTATAGATATGCAATAAGCAGTTAAGCATTGAGAACTGAGAAACGACTATAAATTCCAGCTTTAATCATGTCTCGAGTCGTCGTAAAACGTCGGACAAGGAATATAAACTCACCGACACCGTTGATCAGTATACACGGAAGGATGAGGTTGAATACGTAGAACATCGGACGTCGTCGCAATCGTATTTCGTACGTGATGTCCGGGTAAGGTTCCGGGCAGCAGGAGTAATACTCAACGTTTCTTCTGGCGGAGAAATCGACGAGATCGAACTCACCGTTCGCCTGATAATTGCTCACGTCTCCTTGCTCGCTCTGCCACTCTAGCTCCAACTGCAACAAGATCCACCGATTTCTAGTTGAAGAAAATTAAGGCAGGGTATAAGCCGTTCCTTTGAAGTCTCAAAAATACTATAAAGCTCCGAAAAAAACGTTAATTCGACTCTCATGTATACTCGAGGCGCGCGATATCACGGCGAGCAATTATCTCCCGGGAGAGGATAGATCCTAGAAGCTAGATTAAAGCGTTGAAGCGTCGACTCGAGTTAAATCCAACGGGATGGAACAGGACGCTCGCGATTACGTGTCGGTGTGTGCAACTCGGACAGGTGTCGGACGAGGGAAAAACGAAAAGCACGCTCGACGCGACAACAAATCGTGGTCCCATCGTCAGCTTTATGTATCGAATAAGAAGATACTTTTGATAAGACAGACTGCTCGCTGTTCTCTTCGTCGTTTCGAATATAATAAAGAATTACGACTATCTTATTTTACATCGGGCCAGTAAAAAAGACCGATGGATATTTAAAAGGAAAAATTCAGCCGATGAAAGAGGGAGACTTTTCTAGCTCGCGCGTGAAAAGGTCTGAGCTAGGGCCGTATTTCGAGCGTTTTACGCGGGAAAAACGTGGCGGCACGCGAAATGTATTCGTGATAGGAAATGGGAAAACTGTGTGAAAGGGTGGGCTCGAGAGTCTTGTCGGCACGGAGAAACGGCTCGCATTCAATTCTCGCATACGGGATTAAGCTGTTCGATTTGCCCGGGCCATTTTCGCTACCTGCCGAGCCGGCATTTTCGATTTGCCGTCGTTAAGCGTCTCCGGACCTCGGAAAAGACCGATCCCATTCCGATCACGACGGCAAATCTGTTCTGTTTAGTCGGCCAATCTCCTTGTTTCCGGTTCTCGCAACGAAACACGGCCAAAATTACAAAGGAAATCTTGCAACTCGTAATAGAGGACAGCTGAACATACTGCTACCCGATTCTCATTACGAAAGCGTGCACGTGCCGAAACTTTTCAAATTAATCGTCATGCGCATATCCGATACAAAGATATCTCGGAACACGTGCTGTAAACTTGTGCGAAAGTAGGACGGAAGTTACATGAATTTCTGCGAAAATTATTCGCGAGACAGCGTTCGTCTTGGCGATTCTTTGCTCGGTTCAATGAAACGAGGTGAGACCCGTTCTCCGGGCTTGGCTCGTCTATATGCAAGCTTGATTAAGGTCCCTACATTGAAATCTTAATCCGGGGGAAGCCACGAAACGTAAGGGGAATCTAATTCAAGATGAGTTTTCAAAGACGAGAGGAGAGAAATGAAAAAGCGACCCGTGGTGCAATTTTTTTCGCTGGTGTCGGACATCGGCGTTAAGTGTCAAGGTTTCGGTCAACCGCCACCACTTCTGTACACAGCGTGGATACTTTTATTGTCCAACGGATGGTCCTCCGGCCGATATATCACTTTCTCATCTGCATATCGTCCCGAGGGAGGAACTGCGTGAAATTTAGGGCAACGGAGCCGGGGATCTGATGCAGATGCGCACGTGGATTAAATCTCTGCGCTACGGACGCTTTATGCGTACGTTTGCATCCGAAATCGCTTCGTATAATTAACGTCTGCAGACGAAAGGAGCAGGAATTCTAATGTTTAATCAGCGAGAATATCAATTAGAAAAGAGATCGGGAAATGAGAGAAACGATGTCCCGATAGAAAATTGGAATTTAAATAAAAAACTGAATTTCAATAACGATTTGAATAAAACGTTCAGAAATGTGATTCCTCGCGGACGTCGTGATTTCAACCGAGTCAATTGCGTGGAAAACTGTATTCCGCGTTCTATCAGGCGAATTCGTTACCCCGAAATTACCAATTGCCTTTTTTCGCACGCCCACGTAGAACGTTTACTTTTTTAGGCTCCGCGAAGGTCAAAAGTCTAATACAGAATTTCCCAACTACGTCAGAACATTGATCTGTCACTAGTTTTAATGCACAAACTTAAGGAAATAAGGCATGGGTGACGAAATGTGTGGTGATGTATGCATAAACTTAAGGTTGCATGAGTCCTAAGATCTCTGCTAAAAGTTTAAGACGT